ATGGGCTGCTGCTGCTCCTCCAAGAGCGCCGAGGAGGCGGAAGACCTGCATCAGCCGAAGACCCGCTCGAGTGGAGGCAAGGCCGACGCTGGCCTCGTGGCGAAGAAGGTGGAGCAGGCCAAGAAGACAGGGGCGCTGGCCCTGCGGGAGTGCGGCCTGAAGAAGCTGCCACCCTCCGCGCTCGACGACGGGGTTGGCTCCTTTCGGACGGTGGACGTCACCGGAAACCTGCTGAAGGAGCTGCCCGATGGGCTCGGCGCGTGGGTGGGGCTGCAGAACCTGCTCTGCGCGCGCAACCAGCTGCAGTCGCTGCCACCGAGCGTGGGGCAGCTTGCCAACCTGAAGAAGCTCGTTCTCACCGACAATCGGCTGGCCCGGCTGCCTCAGGAACTCGCGGAGTGCGGCAGCCTCGCCATCCTGCAGCTGGACAACAACCGGCTGGGGCCCACGGTGGGCGACGTCTTCCCAGGCTCGCTGCAGGAGCTGGACCTCTCAAGGAACAGGCTGAGCGAGGTGCCTGCGTCTTGCTCGGGGAACAAACGATGGCATGAACATGAATTTTCGGAGGTCCGCGCAGATGTCCTGGATCGGCGCTGGGCACCCCTCCCTGGCGCACGCAGCGCGCCTGGGGTTGCGCGTGAGGTGCGGCCAAGGGGCTCTGTCGCCGATCCGAGAAATCCGCGCGGACCTCCGAAAGTTTGTGTCGGTGTTTTTTTTGTTTCCTCTATTTCGGGGGGCTCGGCCAGCTGACTCGCCTCGTACTCGCGGGCAACGAGCTCCGTGAGTTGCCCGTGTCCCTGGCGGGGGCGGCCAGGCTGCAGTTTCTCGACGCGGCCGACAACCTGCTGGTCGGCGTCCCCTCGCAGCTGCTGGAGGGCACTGGCCTCGCGGAGTTGTGGCTCAAGGGGAACCCCATCCGAGGAGTGGAAAACGGCATGAGTATATCATTTTGCTTCTGGCAGTGGCCAGAACTGGAAGCATCCAGTGACAGCCGTCTTTGGCCTCCACGCTGCCCACCCTTCCTCCTCGTCCTTCCTCCTTTCTTCTTCCGCCTCCTGCGGGGGATTTACGAACGTTTCTTAATGAGCGTGGAGGGGTACCCCCCCGACGGGGGTCAATCTCGCCTCGTCGTCGCGCCGCGACGGAGGTCGGAGCGCTTTCGGCGCGCGGTGGCTACCCGCGACGGGGGTCGATGTAGGGCTGTTGGCGGGGGTAACGCCCCCCCGACGCTTTTTAAGAGACTCGGAGTAGCCATCAGGGCCTTCGTGGTTCTAGATGTCTAGGCAAAATCGGAGGTTCGCGCAGACTTTCCCGGATCGGCGCTGGGCCCACTTGGCGGCGCCGCGCCGGTCTAAAGAATCCGCGCGGACCTTCAGAAGGTCAGGTTTGTGCCGTTTTCGGTTCCTCGGCCCGTGGACCGCCTGAAGCTGCAGGAGACGCCCGGCTTTTGCAGCTTCCTCGAGCGCCGCAAGCAGCGGCTGGACGCGAAGATCGAGGCCAAAGTCGTGGGCGCAGTGGACCTCGCCGTGTGCGGCCTCGAGTGACGCCGTGCGTGACCTGGGCGAGCGGGGGGGCTTGGAGGATAGTCGAAGTACGCTTCCGGCCGCCCAGCCAGAGATCAGCTTTCGCATCAGCCTCAGCCGCTCGCCAGCCTTTGCGCGTGAGCGCCCGCGCTTCCTGCGCACGCAGTCGCTGCGAGCGGAGTGGGCCGGGCTGGGTCGAGGACTCGAGCGCACGGACGAGGGGAAGAGGGGCGAGGAGGGCATGGAGGTGGTGTCCCGCCTCTTCGAGGGCCGGGGGGCCTGAGAGCAGTCGGGGCGCTGAAGAAGGAACCCTTTTCGTTGGGGAGGGGCTCGGTGTTCCTTCATTGTTTCAAAGTTTGCCTCGGGTTTTCTTGAGGTTTTCCCTGGGAAATCGAAGTCTAACTTATGGAAACAAGGGGCCTCGTTCCTTATTTAGGGTTCCTTAGGTCAACGCCTCGACTGTAGCAGTCGAGAGACCCTGGTCGGTCCAAGCAGCTTGTGTGCAGCTGTGTGTCGGATCAGGGTTGGGCCGGAGCACGGGTGAACCAGTCAGTGCTCGAGCAGCTGTGGCCTCCTGCCCCTCGGGACCTCTGCCCCTGAAAGGGTCGTCGGCCGTCGACCGTCGGTCTGGACGTCGGTCGTCGTCGTCGGTCGTCGTCGTCGTCGGTCGGTCAGTTGGTCGGTCGGCGGGTCGGTCGGTGGGTCGGTGGGTCGGTCGGTCGATCGATCGTCGTCGTCGGTCGGTGGGTCGGTGGGTCGGTCGATCCGTCGGTTGTCGTCGTCGTCGTCGTCGTCGTCGTCGTCTTCGTCGTCGTCTTCGTCGTCGTCGGCGTCGTCTTCTTCGTCGTCGTCGGCGTCGTTGTCGTCGTCGTCGGCGTCGTTGTCGTCGGCGGCGGCGGCGGCGTCGTCGTCGTCGTCGTCGTCGTCGTCGGGGGAAGCGGGAGTGCCCGTGCCGCTCTCCTCGGACTGTGCCGGGAGTCCCTGCAGCGCCCGGCGCGAAGGAGGCCTGCAGGAGTAGCAGGAGTCGGGAGCAACGATAGGGGGGAGCAATTTTTGGGGGATAATGGGCACAAGGAGGGATGCATCGACCCCCAATCGCCCATTTGGTCGCCGACAGGGGCCCGATAGGTTGAGGCTTGGGGTTTTCGGGCGTTGTCGTCGGTTACTGGCGGCTTTTCAGCCTCAGGATGCATTCCAGCGACTGCGCCTCGCCGAAAGCATTCTGGGGGTGTCAGGATTGCCCCGAACGGCCGCCAGAGAGCCGAGTTATGGCCCGAAACCAAGGGGGGGGATACGCGCTCAGGGGGGGATGCATCGACCCCCAATCGCCCATTGGTCGCCGACAGGGGCCCGATGGCCCCAGCCCTGCCGTTCTCGGGGGCCCATCGCCGATCTATCGGCGATGTGTCGCCGATCCCAGGTCGATGTTCCCCCCCTTGCCCGGCGGCGAGCGAGGGCGAGAGGGAGACGCCCCTCTCAGAAGGGGGGGGGCTCCTCAGAAGGCCTCGCGCCTTCTGAGAAGTCTGAGAATCCTTCTGGGGCGCTCTGGGCCCCAACCCGCTTGGTCCCCTCGTGTGGACTCCTGCGCGCGGGCTCTGTCTGTCTGTCTGCTATGCCTTCGGGGAAGGCGCAGAAACCTTCTCTCAGAAGGCCGGGGGGACTTCCAGCCTTCTGAGGAGGCCCGCCCCGTCGCTGTCCCCCCGGGCCTGCCGTCGACCTGTGTGCCAGCCGAGGAGGAGGAGGAGGAGGAGGAGGAGGAGGAGGAGGAGGAGGAGGAGGAGGAGGAGGAGGAGGAGGGAGGAGGAGGAGGAGGAGGAGGAGGAGGAGGAGAGGAGGAGGGGGAGGAGGGGAGGATGAGGAGGAGGAGGAGGAGGAGGAGGAGGAGGAGGAGGAGGAGGAGGAGGGAGGAGGAGGAAGGAGGAGGAGGAGGAGGAGGAGGAGGAGGAGGAGGAGGAGGAGCCTCCCCCCGCCGCTGCCCCTCGAGAGGGGGCGGAGCAGGAGGCCGGGGCCGCGCAGGACCCAGGGCGCCCCCGCCGCTTCGGAGAGGAGAGATGCCGCGTCCGTGCGGTGTGCCCGCCGCGCTGAGTAGGTCCGCACGGAGTGCTCGGCCCGCGTCGTAAAAGAATCAGGCCGGCAGGTTCTCGGCTATTTTCGGCCCCGGGGAGCCCTCGCCAGGCCCAGGACCGTCAAAAAACGACTCAGGACGGAGAAACGGTCCCGGGAAAAGGGTCGGGGCTTCAGGGACGCCGTCCTGAAAGAATCCAGACCTGCGACGTCCTGATTTTTTCTCAGGACGGCGTCCCTCGAAGCCCCGACCCCTTCCCCGGGACCGTTTCTCCGTCCTGAGTCGTTTTTCGATGGTCCTGGGGCCTGGCGAGGGCCCCCGGGCCGAAAATAGCCCAAACACCTCCCGGCCCGATTCTTTTTACGACGCGATCATGTCTGGGGCTTTGTCTCTGGGCTTCCGGACCTGGCCTCTCCTGCCTCGCCGCCCCGCGCCGCCTCGCCCCCTCGCGTGCTCCAGCGCCCAGCCCGCCCGCGGCGAGGCGCCGAGCCGCGCCCCGGCGCCATGGCGTGAGCCGCTGCGGCGCCCAGCCGGAGAGGGGCGGCGCGGGCCATGCGGCGGGGGCGGGGGTTGCCGTGCGCCCGCCGGCTCCTCTCGGGGGGCCTGCTTCGAGGGGGGGGCAACGCGAGAGGGGCGATGGGACACCGGCGGCTTCCCAGCCTCCGGAGGCCTGCCAGCGGCGGCGCCCCGCCGAAAGCGGGCCGGGGGTGCCAGGATCGCCCCGAGCGGCCGTTGCCGACCCGAGTGATGGCCCGAAGACCAACGGGGGCGGGGATACGCTCACGGATGGATGCGTCGACCCCCAATCGTCGACTGATCGCCGATCGGGGCCCGATGGCCCCGGCCCTGCCCAGGACTGTGCGGGTTTTTGCTATCGGGGGCCCAGCGTCGCTCTGTCGGCAATGCGTCGCCGATCACAGGTCGATGCTTCCCCCCCCTCAGCTCGTCCCCGCCTATCGTGGCCCCGCATCAGGGAGGCGCACACACGGACGAATGCGCGTGGGGTAGCGGCGGGTCCTGTTTCCATACCGAAGCGGCGCTTTTTTCGTTGCCGAAGTGGGCGGCATCGGTGCCCTGCTTCGGGGGGTTTAACGTGCGCTGATCTGTGGATCTGGCGCCCGTACGCCACTCCTCTCGGGGGTGTTTGAAGACTGGGCCACGAGGGTCCCTGGCAGCTTCGCGTCGTGAATCAAAATCACGACCCAGGTTTTTTCTTACTTCTCGGCCTTTGGGGGCCCTTGCCGGGCCCCAGGACCGTCCACAAACGCGATTCAGGATCATGAGTCTGCCCCGGGGAAGGGGTCCAGGCCTCAGAACGTTTCGACGACTCAACTGGGTGTGGTTACGCCAGGGGGTGGTTTGCGATCGGCGCCGTTGGGACTCAGGCCCAAGGCGGGCACGTCCCTCTATAGGAGGAATAGTCAAAAATAGTTAAAACATAGTATGGGGACGATTTTGTTTTGACAATTTTCTTGTTCACTTTTGGTTTTTTGACTATTTTTAGTTTTCTCCTCCGAGACCCGCCTGTAGGAGCACACGCCCGACCTAAGCTTAGTGGCCACCACGTTGCGCCAAAGGTTTGAGGAGCCCTCGCCGGGGCGCGGCGGAGATCTCTGGCGAGGCCCTCGCCCGTCCCCCTAGGCCCCAGGCGCGGGTAGCAATCCACATCCTTTGCAAACCACGCCCTCCGGAGTCGCAGGACGCTGAAAAAACGACGATGTCAGATGTCTGGGGATTGGGTCCCGACCTCCGCGGGGTCTGGCGAAGTGGTGCCCCACGGACCCAAAAGATCCGACGCTCCAAGTAAGGTGGAGCGGGCGGTTTTTGGCCGCTTTCGGCCTCTGGGGGCCCTCGCCGGGCCTCGGGAACGTCAAAAAACGATCCAGGACGAGAAACCAGCCCTCAGAAAGTGGTCAGGACTTCGGGGCTCAAGAGACGGGGGTCAATGCAAACGGGGATCAGCCAGGGCACCGGATCCTGCAGGATCCTGCGAAGACCCCCTCTGGCTGACCCGGGTTAGCGAGCCGCTCGTGGCCACGAGGCGGCCGCGCATATTGGCTGACCCAGGTGTGCGAAGACTTGTGTTGCAGTTTTTTGTTTGTTTTTTGTTTTGTTTTTTGTTGTTTTCTTTTTTTCCCTGCATTGCAGTTTTTTTCGTTTCCTGCTGGCCCAGGTCTGGAGAGACCCGGGTCAGAAGATCCCCGAGGGACCTCTGGGGCCCGCGCAGCGCAGAAGTTGGAGCAGCATGCCTGGGGAGATCGCAGTGCATCCCTCGCCTTTCGCTGGGGCCCGCCGCGCGCGCAGCAGTCGCCACTCTGCCCCCCTGGGGTGCTCCTGGGCGCGCCGCTGCCGCTTCCATGCTGCGGCCACGGACGGACGGCCAGGGAGCGAGGGTGCCCGGCCGCGCAGCTGCCCCCCGGGCCATGTATTGCACAGGCCCCCCTCTGGACTGTACAACGCCCTCCTGGAGGGTTTCTCCTCCTCCTCCTCCTCCTCCTCCTCCTCCTCCTCCTCCTCCTCCCTCCCTCCTCCCTCCTCCCTCCTCCCTCCTCCCTCCTCCCTCCTCCTCCTTCTCCTCCTCCTCCTCCTCCTCCTCCTCCTCCTCTTCCTCCTCCTCCTCCCCCTCTCCCTCCTCCACCTCCTCCTCCTCCTCCTCCTCGCGTCGCCTACGGCCCCCGAGGGAAACCGTACACCCCCCAGACTACAGGTCACCCTAGATTTGTTGAGGTACTCGGGGTACGCGATCGCATGGGCACGTTTCGCGCAGGGCCTCCGAAAGCACTGGCCCGTATCCACGGCGAAGGGGGGGCGGGCGAACAGAAAAGGAGGGGGGAGGGGAATTTGATGATGAGAGCTGTGCGACAGAAGCCACGGCTCCCGTGTAAGAGCACGCGTGTGAAGTACCAGGATGGGCAAGGAGTGACGCGGGGCGGGGGGCGGGGTCAGCGGCGTGGGGGGATGTAGAGGGAGGAGCTGGGAGGTGCGGAGGCGGACGGGGGACAGGGACGATGCGGCATGGGACGTGGGGAAGTGCCCCTCCCTCCAGCCCCCATTGAGACCTGTTGACGTCGTGTCAGCACCCCTGAGGCCCTCCGTCTGGCCCCTCCCCATCATCTCCCTGCCCGGGGTCCCCCTTCATCCCCCTGCCCGCCGTGGATGCGACCGTCTCGCTCTTGGTCTCTCTGTTTGCCTGCCCTCTCATTCAGCAGAGAGGGCCTTGCTTCTCTCTCTATCTCTCGCTCTTCCTTTTCCTGCCCCGCCTCTCTCCCGCCGTCCTTCCACTCTTCGGCCCCCCTCTCCTGCTTTCGCCCCCCCCCCCCCCCCCACCGCCTCCCGCTCCTCCCGTGCCTCACCTCTCTTTCCCTTTCTCGCCTCTCTCCCGCCGTCCTGCCACTTTGCGGCCTCCTTTTTCGCCTTCGCCCCCCCCGCCCCTCGCTCTTCCCGCCCTCCCCGCCCGCTTCGGCACGCCCCTCGCACACTGTGGCGTGCTCCCCCGCGAGGGAGATCAACCTGCGAGCGTGCGCACGCTGCTCCTCGCCCAAGTCTCGGCGCACCCGCGCACTCCTTGGGGCCCAGAGCACGCGGCCACCGTGGGCGCGGGCGCGGCGCCCCGCTGCTGTTAGGCACGCCCTCGCACGCTGCGCCCCCCCCCCGCAGGCAACTCCCACCTGCGGCCACATGGGGGCCCGCCCCCACCGACGGCCACACGGGGCCCCCTCCGCGTCCTCCCCGTCCCCGCCCGCCTCCGCCCAGTGGCTCCTTGCTGCCGCCCTGCCCCCCGCCGCGGACGGGCAGGGTGCCCCGGGTGGCTCTCCTGAGCGCCTGCTGCCTGGCAGCCCGGCAGAGGGCCCTGGCGTGGGCCGGGGGGCCTAGTCGTTCGAGCAGAGTTTTGCTTGTTTGTTTTTGTTGCTGTTGTTGTTGTTGTTGCTGCTGCTGTAGTAGTAGTAGTAGTAGTAGTAGTAGTAGTAGTAGTAGTAGTAGTAGTAGTAGTAGTAGTAGTTGTTGAATTTTGATTTCTGAAGAATAATTACTGTTGATCCCCCCTCACCGGTGCATATTGTTTTTCTCAATCAAAGTGTGCCCCTCGACGCTCGCACCCTGTGTTTTGACAGGGAAAGTCTTGGTGCTCAAACTGTGCCCCTGGCCCCCCGATTATAACAACAACGGCTCCCGCTTGAGACTTCCTTCGAACTTACTCAGAACTCGCGCTCCCGCCTTAGACTTCCTCACACTTTACCCAGGATCGGTGCTTCCGCTTGAGACTTCCTCGCGATTTTGTCAGGACCCCGCTCCCATCTGAGACTTCCTCACAATTTTCTCAGGAACGGCGCTCCCGCTTGAGATTGTAGTGGCCTCCGGCCAGTGCCGCCGATCCGGGGCGCTCCGGATCATGATGATGATGGTGATGTGACGATGGTGATGGTGATGGTGGTGGAGATGGTGATGATTCCGGCCCCCCCAACCCCCTCCTCTCTCCTGTCCCTCCCCCTTTCTCCTGTCCCCTCCCCCCCCCTCTCTCATTTCTCCTCCCCCTCCCCCTTCACTCCTGTTCCCCCCCCCTCTCTCCTGTCCCCCCCCTCCTCTTCCTGTCCCCCCCCACCCTCTTTCCTGTTCCTCCCCCCCCCTCCTCTCTCCTGTCTCCCCCCCCCTCTTTCCTGTCTCCCACCCTCTCTCTTTTCCCCCCCCTCCCCATCCTGTCTCCTGGTCCCCCACCCTCCTCTCTTCCTTTCCCCCCCACCGCCCTCTCTCCTGTCCCCCCTCCCCCCCCTGTCTCCTGTCCACAATTACTCAATATGAATACTACTCTCCCTCTTCCCCTGATGACGTTTTGAAAGTGGCCGACCCCCCCCCGCGTATTGTTTTTTACACATGTTTCCCCGGAGTTGGGTTTTCGCTTGCATTTTTTTTCAAAATGCTGCTGTCGCTGAGGCGCCGGCTTCATTTTCGGGCACTGCTCGTTCCAAATCGTGCTCCCGCTGCAGCGCTGGCCTCATTTCCGTGCTTCCGCTCGTTCTGTATCGTGCTCCCGCTGCAGCGCTGGCCTCATTTCCACGCTTCCGCTCGTTTCGACTCGTGCTCCCGCTGCAGCGCTGGCGTCATTTCCCGTGCCATGCCACGGCATGCAATGCAATGCTAGGTTGATACTACGCTTTGCGGTGCTCTTCTACGTCATGCCATGCCGTGCTCTACAATGCATCGCGTACCCTTTCGGGATCATTGCCCTGCTCGACATCCGACCGAGCGAGTAGAGAGGGGATCTGCGCCATGGTAGGGGATGGGAGGGAGGGGTATGATGTCAGATATGACGCGAGCGCACCTAGCTTGTACCCCCCCCCTTTCCCCCTTCCCCTCTCTCCTGTCCCCCCCCGCCCTCTCTCCTGTCCCCCCCCTCTCTCCTGTCCCTCCGTCCCTCCCCTCCTCCCCCCTCTTTCCCCCCCTCTCTCCTGTCCCCCGTCCCCCCCTCTCTACAATTACTCAATATGAATACTACTCTCCCTCCTCCCCTGATGACGTCTTGGGAGTGTTCGCCCCCCCTCCGCGTATCGTTTTTACACAGAGGTCTCCCCGGAGTTGGGTTTTTTCGCTTGCATTCTTTTCCAAAATGCTGCTCTCGCTGAGGCGCCGGCCTCATTTTCGGGCCCCGCTCGTTCTGAATCATCGCTGAGCCCGAGCTGGAATTTCCAAAATTTTTCCAAAATGTTTTTTTTCCAAATTTTTTTTTGTTTTCCAAAATGCTTTTTTTTCCAAAATGGAATGCTTTTCGCTTCCATTTTTTTCCATTTTCGGGCCCCGCTCGTTCCAAATCGTGCTCCCGCTGCAGCGTTGGCCTCATCTCCGCCGGCGCCCAGGCTGCCCGCCCGAGCCGGCGCCCGGGCCGGCGCTCGGGCCGGGTCTGGAGCCGGTTCCGGCCGCCCCCGGAAAAGGGAGTTCCGAGGCGGCGCCGAAAAAAAGGCCATTCTAATACACATTTTTCTTTTGAAAATGTTCAATTTCTGCTTCCAGCGCCCAGGAGGCCTCCCGGGCCGATTCCGACGCCCGGGCCGGCGCCCGAGCCGGCGCCCGGGCCGGATGCCCGAGCCGGCGCCCGGGCCGGCGCCCGGGCCGGGTCCAGAGCCGGTCCGACCGGCGCCGGAAAATCGAGTTCCGAGGCGACGCCGAAAAAAGGCCATTCGAATACACATTTGTCTTTTCCTTTTTTTTTTTTTTTAATTTTTTTTTATTTTTTTTTTTTTTTTTTATTTTTTATAATAACAGCGAAAGAGTGATAAGGTTTTCTTCTTCTTCTTTTTAGTTTTTTTTTATTTTTTTTTTTATAGTAGGGGTTCAAAAAAAAGAGGAGCATCATGACGCCCCAGGGGGGTCTGGGCGCGATCCGGGGAGATGCTGGGTATTTGTTTGTTTTGCAAGCAGTTACACATTTCGTGGTCTTCGAGGTCCCAGAACTCCATTCCCGGGCCACATTCTGAATGCCCGGAGCCAACTGTAGGCCACTGCGTGGTCTTCGACTTCCCAGAATTCCATTCCCGGGCCACATTTTGGATGCCCGGAGCCAACTGTAGGCCACTTCGTGGTCTTCGAGTTCCCAGAACTCCACTCCCGGGCCACAGTTTGAAAATGCTGAAGGCAGACTGAGGCTGAGGCTGAGCAGGCTGAGGCTGAGGCTGAGGCAGGCTGAGGCTGAGGCAGGCTGAGGCTGAGGCTGAGGCTCATGCAGGCTGAGGCTGAGGCAGGCTGAGGCTGAGGCCGAGGCTGAATGCAGACTGATGCTGAGGCTGAAGCAGGCTGAGGCTGAGGCTGAGGCAGGCTGAGTCTGAGGCAGGCTGAGGCTGAGGCTGAGGCTGAGGCAGGCTGAGGCTGAGGCAGGCTGAGGCTGAGGCCGAGGCTGAAGGCAGACTGAGGCTGAGGCTGAAGCAGGCTGAGGCTGAGGCTGAGGCAGGCTGAGGCTGAGGCTGAGGCAGGCTGATGCTGAGGCAGGCTGAGGCTGAGGCTGAAGCTGATGCAGGCTGAGGCTGAGGCAGGCTGAGGCTGAGGCCGAGGCTGAAGGCCGACTGAGGCTGAGGCTGAAGCAGGCTGAGGCTGAGGCTGAGGCAGGCTGAGGCTGAGGCTGAGGCAGGCTGATGCTGAGGCAGGCTGAGGCTGAGGCTGAGGCTGATGCTGATGCAGGCTGAGGCTGAGGCAGGCTGAGGCTGAGGCTGAGGCTGATGCAGGCTGAGGCTGAGGCAGGCTGAGGCTGAGGCCGAGGCTGAATGCAGACTGAGGCTGAGGCTGAAGCAGGCTGAGGCTGAGGCTGAGGCAGGCTGAGGCTGAGGCTGAGGCAGGCTGATGCTGAGGCAGGCTGAGGCTGAGGCTGAGGCTGATGCGGGCTGAGGCTGAGGCAGGCTGAGGCTGAGGCCGAGGCTGAAGGCAGACTGAGGCTGAGGCTGAAGCAGACTGAGGCTGAGGCTGAGGCAGGCTGAGGATGAGGCTGAGGCAGGCTGATGCTGAGGCAGGCTGAGGCTGAGGCTGAGGCTGAGGCTGAGGCTGAGGCTGATGCAGGCTGAGGCTGAGGCAGGCTGAGGCTGAGGCCGAGGCTGAAGGCAGACCGAGGCTGAGGCTGAAGCAGACTGAGGCTGAGGCTGAGGCAGGCTGAGGCTGAGGCTGAAGCAGGCTGATGCTGAGGCAGGCTGAGGCTGAGGCTGAGGCTGATGCAGGCTGAGGCTGAGGCAGGCTGAGGCTGAGGCCGAGGCTGCAGGCAGACTGAGGCTGAGGCTGAAGCAGGCTGAGGCTGAGGCTGAGGCAGGCTGAGGCTGAGGCTGAGGCTGATGCAGGTTGAGGCTGAGGCAGGCTGAGGCTGAGGCCGAGGCCGACGGCAGACTGAGGCTGAGGCTGATGCAGGCTGAGGCTGAGGCAGAGGCAGGCTGAGGCTGAGGCTGAGGCAGGCTGATGCTGAGGCAGGCTGAGGCTGAGGCTGAGGCTGATGCAGGCTGAGGTTGAGGCAGTCTGAGGCTGAGGCCGAAGCTGAAGGCAGACTGATGCTGAGGATGAAGCAGGCTGAGGCTGAGGCTGAGGCAGGCTGAGGCTGAGGCAGGCGGAGGCTGAGGCTGAGGCAGGCTGAGGCTGAGGCTGTGACTGCGGCGACTGCCGTTGCCGCTGCGACTGTCATCGCGAATGCGACTACGACTGCGAGAACAGCAGAATTCTACAACTGGATTCTCATCTGAATCTTAAGGGGAATGCTTCCAGATATGCTCCTACACATCGCTGTTAGGTTGCTTTGCCGGGATAATTCTTTTGAAAATGCTAAATTTCTGCTTCCGGCGCCCGGGAGGCCTCCCGGGCCGATTCCGACGCCCGGGCTGGCGCCCGAGCCGGCGCCCGGGCCGGACGCCCGACCCAGGCCGGACGCCCGAGCCGGCGCCCGGGCCGGCGCCCGGGCCGGGTCCGGAGCCGTTTCCGTGCCATGCCGTTGAATGCATTTCCCGTGTCATTTCCCGTGCCATTTCCCGCTGGTATGCAATGCAATGCTAGGTTGATACTACGCTTCGCGGTGCTCTTCTACGCCATGCCATGCCGTGGTCTACAATGCATCGCGTACCCTTTCGGGATCATTGCCCTGCTCGACATCGACTGTGCGAGTAGAGAGGGGATTTGCGCCATGGTAAGGGATGGGAGGGAGGGGTAGGATGTCAGATATGACGCGAGCGCACCTAGCTTGCCTGTCCAACCCCTCCCCCTCTCCCTCCCCCCTCTCTCCTGTCCCCCCCCCTTCCTCTCTCCTGTCCCCCCCCTCTCTCCTCTCCCCCCCGTCCCTCTCCTGTCCCCTTTCACCCCTCTCTCCTTCCCCCCTCCCCCCCCTCTCTCCTGTCCCCCCCCAGGGGAGCGCAGGTGCCGAGCACAGAATCCACTAGTTAAATAGAGACCCCCCCCTTCTC